TCATTTATTTTAAAATTAAAATTAAAACAACCTAACAACAATCTATCCAAAGACTCAATTTCCAAACTTCCAGCTTAAATCTTGTTATTCCTATTTCCTGAAATACATGAAAACAATAGTACCTTGTGAAAACCAAGAGAAAAAATTATAACAAACATATAGCTAGGTTAGATAAATAACTCAAGTAAAACATATATAAGACTATCGCATGTATTACTATGAACATTAAATGATTTAGAATCTATACATGACAAGTTGAGATAAACATGAAAAACATGGAGAGGAATGAGTATTAGGCTTATTCAATCCTAATATATTGTAAATCCTAACATATTGTCAATCTTCTTAGAATGACTAGTAAATAATTGAAGTTGGGAACTAGATATCTCAAGGTCACTTGTAAATGCCTTAGTTTTAAGTTCTAAGTACTCTTTCTCTACCCTTAACTCATTCAATCTACTACTAGACTCCTTTAGTTTTTCTTCTAAACTCTCTTTTTCAAACTCAAGTTTAAGCAATTTCTTAAAGACAAAGCTACAACTTATCTTCATTATGCATACTTAATGACTCATGTAATAGGATTTAGGTCAGTGACTCCTAAGTCAGTTGACTATAAAGCACCAAATTTCAAGATACCCAACAAGTTCAATTACTCGAGTAAAAAAGACTACGAAAAACAATACAAGATTTATAACAAATAAGTCAAATTTTTTTAAGCTCCACACTCTTTTCTTTTATGGATATTTTACAAGTGTTTAGGTCAACTAGTTAAAAGTTATTTCATAACCAAATTCAACTCACCACACAAATGAACACCATCCTAAGTGTCACATAGGCTGTTGGAATCCACTCACAAGAACTTAATGTGTGCAGTGCATATGATACATGCAATAACCTATATCAAGTACTCCAAACAAATTTTAAACGAAGTTAATAGAAAATTTATTCACTATTTATTAATTATTTTACTCGACCACAAAAAAAGCCCAAAAATACTAACTGAAAGTGCTATAACTTCAAAAATCATTTTTCGTTATTTATTTTGTTTTTTCATATTTTCTACTTTTTATTTTCCATTAAAAAAAATAATGCCAAACAAATGAAAAAAGGAAAAAAGATAGAGTGCATGATGAATATGTAGAAATCATGAATAATACAAGTGTATGCACCTAAAACCTAATCAATGAAGCATAGAAATGCTTTCACCAAGAGCAACATGAGCAATATCGTGACTAATATCACTTTGACTTACAAGTTTGCTCTTTTTTACTCAAGTCTTCTTAGAAGAAAATGTAACTTTAGTGATTTGAGTTATCAATTCGGTCAAGTGATTCACTTGATTAATCAAGAATCTAACATGAGTGGTTAGATCTTGTTCATTGTTCATAATTAAGAACTTACGGCACTTAGGCATAATGTGAGCTAAAACATCACAATTATGACACATGGGAATGAACCTAGGACCAACTTTAGATTGAGAAGCCTTATGTTGCACAAATACTCTAGGTCTATAAACAACTCGCTTAGACTTAACAGGGGCAGGAATCACCTTAGTTTTAGAAGATGAAACAACATGGGTATTAGGTTTATTCAATCCTAATATATTGTCAATCTTCTTAGAACCACTAGTAAATAATTGAAGTTACGCACTAGATTTCTCAAGGTCACTTGTAAACGTCTTAATTTTAAATTCTAAGTACTCTTTCTCTACGCTTAACTCATTCACTCTACTACTAGACTCCTCAAGTTTTCTTCTAAACTCTCATTTTCAAACTCAAATTTATGCAATTTCTTAAAGACAGTGCTACAACTTTTTCAACTTAAGAATACTCCTCAAACAATTCATCGAACGAATCATAAATGCCACGTTCATCTGTTGATTCTTTCTTTGAAGAGTTAGATTGCCCTATATCCTCAAGTGACTTAATCTTAACCATAAAAGTGAATATCATATAATTTTCCCCCGTTAGAATTGTAGTTTTCACTTTGATTATCGGAGCTAGACTCATCTTTAGTGAAAGTAACATTCATAGCATTATCTAGGGTTTTCTTATAACTTAGACACTCAAATTTAACATAACCAAATCCCTGGAACTCATGACACCTCACAAACCTCTTATAAGTACCTCTAGCATCACTTATAAGTACCTCACAGACCTCTTATAAGTACACTCAAATTTAACATAACCAAAACCCTGGAACTCATGACACTTCACAGGCCTCTTATAAGTACCTCTAGCATCACTCTTCTCTCTTTTATCCTTCCTAGATGTACTAGATTCACCTTTAAATCTCTTAGAAGCTCTATTACTATTTTTAAGGAATTTCTTAAATTTCCTAACAAGGTAGGCACGCTCCTTATCCTTAAGTTTGTGATCATCAATGGTGTCACTATCTGCTTCCCTAATAGTTTTGAGAGCTAAAAATTTGTTCCTCTTAGACTGAGGTAGGCTAAGTTCATCGTTTCGACAGATCCTACAAGTTCTTTTATCTTAACGACATCTAGGTCTTTACTTCTCTCAATAACAGTGGCCTTAGGTTTGAATCTCTTAGGTAGGAATTCCGTAACTTTCCTCACTATCTTGGCCTCAAAAATTTGATCACCTAGCTTAAAACTAAAGTTAACTATATCATCTAATTTAGGATAGAAATCATCAAAACATTCATCATCAATTATTCTAATTTTTTCAAACCTAGTGGTCAACATTTGCAACTTAGAGTTGTTAATAGTCTTAGTTTCCTCACGTGGTTTAGGAAAAATTTCTATTTCCAAGCTTTCAGTATAATTATTTATGATTGATCAGATCATTGATACAAATAATATCCAAATACCAAATCCGACTTCTATATACTCCCCGCAAAGTG